TTGCGATTAAACAACGCCAAACCTTCCTGTGAAGTTGTTACACGATTGCGTTTGTGGTCGACTGTGAGCAATCGCGGCACCCATCTTGCGGAAAGCTTTCTCATGCCCAAGTGATCATTCAAAATTGAAACCACTGAGCCATGCGAGATCCCTACGGCTTCCACAATCTCTTGCACTTTCAATCTTCGGTCGGCCAATACCATATCGTGAATTTTTTCGATTGTTTCGGGTGAAGAGACCTCAACTGGGCGTCCAGGACGTTCGGCATGTTCAGTGCTTGCACGGCCACAACGAAATTCAGTAAACCACTTTTTTACCAGAGCAGCAGAGTCCCCATAGTATTTATCAAGCTTAGCCTTGGTCACGGTAATGGTTTTTTTTCGCAAAAAATAATGCTTAATAAGCACACGAAATTCACTTTTTTCCATTTTTTCCTCAAATTACTGGGTAGTCTGATAAAGAAAGCTGTCAAACAGAAACTAACTGACGCAGCAAGTTCAAGTCACGGACTTTTTGACCCGCCCTCGTAGATCCTCATATTGCAATTTTTATTCCCAATAGAGGTTAAATCTTGTCTGCCTATCTCCTATTCCTATACAATATGATGCATACGTCACAGCACCTCACTTAACTAATTGCCTCAATTTTCTATATTTTATTAACATAAGATACTTTACGTAGCTCAAAATAAACACAAAAGATCAGAGGGAAATAAAGGCCAGAGGATCGCCTAAATCTAGAATTCAATCGTAGGTGTTGCCCGCGCTAAGTCGGTCCGATGTCTTAACAACAGCCCTGATTTCTTCCTTTCCCTGATTTTTTTCTATTCCAGGCGCTGAGTGGCGCACAGTGTGGTTTTAGTTGGTTCGATTCCGACACACCGCCCTGCCGCAAACCCCTGTGGGGTGACGGCCCGAGGCTTTTCACATGTAAAAAAAAACGAACAATTCTTCACACTCCTTAATCCATCCTTGTAAGCCAAATCACCTTCCTTAAATTGACTTCCTTTCAACTTCAACTTTCTATTTAATATGCGCCCTATTCATCTTTAATTCTTAAAGTGCTGGGTTGATGCCAGAGGGCTTACCTCTTATCACGTGGTTGGAACCAAATTTTAGTTGGCAATATGTGGGTGTTTTATAAGCCTCTGCCAGACATACAGACGTAAGTTTATAAAAGTATGTACCGACATACCATGTAGTGTAGTAAGATTTATTCTCCAGTAAATACAATAGTGATCACTACTTTTATCTTTAGATAGACATACGTATTATATATGTATTACTACACTACAACCAGCTGCCATACCTTCTTAAAATCCAATAGGCTCTTTTATATGGGTAATTAATTATTCATTGGGATTATGAATAAATAGTTACAAGATTCACATACAGTACCTACACCTTATTACTCGTACCTACGACACAAGGAGAAACGTATAATGTTATATACGATATGACAAGTGTAGACAGCTATCACTTTTTAATTAAGTTGAATGAAACACAATGGAAGATATAGTTACTTTGTTTACTAATCGTGACAGTTCTAATTAAAGTAGCACAAAGTGAAGTAGAACAGGAAGAGTAACTTACTTCCTAAGCACAATGTAAAAAACATTGTTCTAATAGAAACTGTACGAAGGAACCTGGTTTTCTGTAACTATGTGTTAGTCGTGGATAGAATATAGTCCGGATCGTAACATGAGCCAAACTAACAAATTTTAACTCGTGAGGTTACGTTTTTATCCTGCTATTGAGGAGGCTAGCCACAGCTTCATGGGAATGGCTAAAGTACATGCTAGCCTCGAGATATAAAATTACCAAGAGTGAAAACAAACATCTAGTACAAAATAAATTGATGTAAGTAATTATAGCCTCAAAGTCCAGTACATTCGGATATTTTTTTAATCAAAGAAGACACCAAAAAGTAAATTTAAAGGATTTACTAGAAGGAAAGAAAGAAACAGTATATTCTTTGTTTAAAGCGACTAATGTCGTTGGATTTCTTTGAGGAGGATAAAGTTGTCAATGTGAATGTGACTTTTGGCACGATTATAATCATAGACATCCGCTTACAAAGCTCAATTTTTTTATGTTTTTATTCCTTTTTTTATAGAAATAGATGAGATGTATGATTTTTCGTTTTAAAATTATAAGTGACAACAGACCTCTCCTCCTCCGAGCCTTTTCCTAAACTAGGTTGGATATACTTTTACTACGACACGGCTGAACTTTGATTTTTTACGTGGAGCGACTGCCAGCAGACCTCCACAACTCAAATACATTCGTATTTCGAAGTTCTGCAGATAGAATCTGTTGTTGGACTTTTTAGGGCTCCAACTACCCTTAACGATTGCTACAGATGTTCGTATAGCAACCGTATGGCACCTTTCGTATAGGTGACAACAGACAACTACCCTTATTCACAGACAATTTCATATTTGGCGTACATTAACAATACGAAACGTCTTTGAATTCTAGTTTCATCATTTAAAATCTCTACTTCTTTGTTAGTCACGGGCTCAGGGCTAATATTTGTAGGTACTCGTAAATGTTTATTTGTATTTATCTGTTTTTATTTCTATGTTTATCTCTGGTCTAGTCCACCCGTAAAAAAAGACATTACTCGTACATTACTTTTTAATGTGTTCTTTGATGAGTGATTACTTTAACATTAAAACAGTATAATTGTAATTGAACTTGATAAATATCTACTTAGTTGTTGAGTGGACACAAAAGCGGCAATAGGAAACCTTCATAGCAATATTCCAAAAGTTGACAAAAATATAATTGAAAAAGCAGCTTGCAGGCACAAAATACAAAAATAAACAGAAAAGTAATTAATTTATGGTATTAATATTAAAACGTGGGAATAGTGGAATAGTGGGGATGCAGACAAATCCCGTTAATATTTTATATGGATATGTATGGATGGTTGTTCTCAATCACTCCTGAAAAACTGAATGGATTCGGATTAAATTTATTCGGCATAGAAGTAGGTTGTGGTTTAAAATAGAATATTTATTTTATCAAGGAAACATTGATTGACAAAATCCAAGCGATGCCACAAAAAGCTGGTACTCGAAAGGACGAGTGATTGAGTTACGCACCGAATATTTGTCACCTAGCCATCTGCTACCCACGGTGAGTAGATTTTTGGATATGCGAATTATCTACATATATAAGAAATTAACAAGACTACTTTTAGTATAAGGCGTCTAAAATTACTATTTATTTACTATTTTTTTGACGGGCCTGTTGGTCTAGTGGTTAGTGACCCTGACTGCTAAGCCGGAGGTCGTGGGTTCGATTCCCACCCAGGACAAATATTGTGTGATGAGCACGGTCATTTGTTCTGTGTCTGGGTGTAATTTATCTATAATATGTATGTATTTAAAAATATATAAGTATGTTTATCAGCGGTCTGGTTACCATAGTACAGGTTCTGCCTAGTTTGGGATCAGACGGCCGTGTGTGAGATGTGTGAGATATACTATTATTATTATTATTATTATTATTATATTTTTTCCCCGAAAAATCGTTTCGCTCGGCTGACTAATGTGTGTATGTGTGCATGCCTGTACGAACAGCGAGCTGGCCGACTATGAGTGACACAGTTTTTACCTATTGAGACTATGTCCGACTTTTTTATACGTCTATGATTGTACCTATATAAAATCGAAAGTCAGTGAAATGTACTCCTTTTTTTCCATTTTTACAAAGTACCATTGGTTTACTTACCTTGTCTAAAATCTTATCAAAATATAGATATTTCATAATGAGGTCAGACAAGGAAGCTCTCTCATTGGTAGAGTACATTTTTGGTTTATTGATGGGATTGGTCTAGGTAAGGAAGCCTTTTGTTTGAATTTTACCCTAGGTCTTAAATAAGTAGGACACAGAGCCTTTTGCTTGAATTTGGACCACCTCTGGTCCAATTCCTCTACTCTTTACAAGACCGGAGTAAGATAGAGCCACAAATATCTTGTGATTTCTTTAAAAAATATTCACCAATCGAAAAGTGCCTTTAAAGTTCCACGAGCAGAAACAATACCTATTGGTAATACATATATTACAATACCATTGTTGTGTTTGTTTCTGCTCATTTGGCAGCTTAGCTATAGAACTACAATAGGTAAAAGCTATGAAGTCTGAAAAAGTACCCGGTAGCCGCCCCCTATTACGTGAAACCAAACAAATAGCTGTAAAATATAGGCTTAACGAACCTCTGTCCATCCCTCTTCATTTTTCCCGGGGGTAAATATTTATGTGTGTGGATAATTAATGTTGGTCCGTGACAGATCACAGTCAAAACGATACACTCCTTATTTAAAAATTAGTAAAAAGTACTTAGAATTTGTTGCTAGTGAATTGCCACTTACAGGCAAATATTACATATCTACCTACCTATAAGTCGAAAATAACAAAGGTCTACGTAATTTAAATAATTTATCTTTACACTGTCTTAACACTATTATCCTTTGTCTTTGATATATATCGTCAGTCATCTTTATAAATAAATTAACCATCACACTTACATTAAATTATCGTAACATGTTATCGTAACGACCTACGTGGTAACGTAACTATACAATAACATATTTTGATTCAAAAAATTCCGTCAAAAGTAAACAATGGTCTTTGGAATCTATTTTTATACGTTACTATTTTATGTTACTTTTTACAACCGTTTTTACGAAGTAGGGTACTTCGTACAGCTAAGCAATTACTAAAATCTAATGCTTTAAAAACCGCAAAATGATTGATGCTACCTATGACGCCGGCGAAAAGCTCCCGAACACCGTAAACTATTGTACCAGGTACCGCACACAATCGATACCGAGTTATTTCCGTAAACAATAATATATTGAACCTCCAAAACCTTCTTCGAACCATCATTAACCCTACCAGTGAATAACACAAGAAAAAATCGCACAAAAACATCTCGCTTGTATACAATTTAATACCGTCGATTAATCGATAATGACCTACTTTACTTACCCGAGTTATATAGCGATGTATAACACTCCCAGAAGGCACTGTGTTTATTCCTAGTTTACAAAATCACTGCCACATGTTTATTTTATTTCAGTTTTACACTAGATCAATAAGTGTAGCATTCTGCTTAGTCCGCCCGTCTGTGATGTTAGCGTGTCCATTCAATACTGGGAGAGGCGGAGGGGCATGCGTACAGGGACGCGCGACGCCTCACAGAGCGCGGGAAAAGTGACGTTTCGTTTTTTTAGATGAAGACCAGATATATATACGATTCTGCCAAGATATGCCAGATAAACGTGACATTTTGATTAATTTACATTTTATATATAAATATTTCTCTATCTAGAAAGATGAAAAAACATATGAAACAAGTAAATTTATTTAATATCAATAATTCAATATTAAAACAAAGACAAGCCTATTTGAGTATATGTCATTAGCACCGTAATACAAATACGTATATGTAAATATTTATAGTTTAAGAACAAGCGGTTTTACATGTATAATGGGTACAGTACATTTTCTTAAGGAAATAATCTGTTTCATGTTCTTCGGCTACGTCAGGGATATGCCCAAAGTGGTCGATATCGATCCCTAGGGTTTTTCAGCGATTTTCCAGGGGTCGACCCAAACAAAATCCGATTTTGGCTTGACGAGGTCTATAAATCTACCTTATAATTAACACAAGTTCTTATTTGAAAATTTCAAGATACTGTATAAGTTATGTATATTAATTTTGTGAAAATTTTGTAATTTTCCATTATTTGTATTAAAAATTAATAATTACACTTGATATTACTGAATTTTATGTCAATTTATTTAGTTAAATTTTGATGAGAAAATGATATCAAGTTTACTTACTTAAATAACCGCAAAGTTTCTTAAATTGGTAAATATTTTGTATTAATTGAAAAAACTAGAGGTAGATTTGGCAAGGGGGGTCTCTTGCCCAAAATAGTTTGGGAATCCCTCGACTACCTCATCATAAAAGCCAAATTAAATCACGTGTTATCTTCCGACCTGCCTTTATTCTCCTACACTGCGATTTTGGCAATTGTTTTCATTTTTATTTATTTATTTCCTACTACCTAAATTAAGGGGTTGTATTTTAGCACCTCGTTAAATTGATATATTTCGCAAACGAAGTATTAGAATTAAGGTAGATATGATTAATAGAGATGAAACGAACATCCGGCGATATTGGGCCTAAATATACATCCTGCGGGGTATCGTAATCAGGAACTTTTTACTTAGTTTCTTCTTTACATATCAATTTTTTATATCCTTATTCCTTATTTCTATATTTTGTATATAAGGCTACCCAGCTTCAATACTTGACGAATATTCAATATCTGGTTTTTGGTCAAACAGCTTTTATTAATGTTTGATTATACCTGAATTAATTATTTGTCGTTGTATTAACGGTTTTTCCCGTTATTTTATGACGTCTAGGTACATAAATAAAATATTTTAATTATTAATTTGTAAGCATTTTTATGTTTAATAACACGCATGTATTAGTTCCCGTAGGTATAATCAAAGTAAACACGACGCAGCGTTACGTCTGATATTATAAATTAGGCGTAGAAGATAACAGCGTCACTGATAGATCATAGGTGTCTTATTATCAACATGATAGGGGGTAATAATCACAGAGAGGATTCAATAAACAAGGCTAATAATCGTAATCTAATAATTCACAACGTCAAAATTTAAACGAAATTTTGAACGTCCTTTCATCGTTTGCAACTCAGATCGTTTAAGATGTTCTATTTGATATGATCGTAGCTATATACTACCAAATGAACAACCATCTCCTCCTCCCTCTATGACGACCGGTCAGTCAGAGTGGTATACATATGTAGTTGCTATATCAGAGTGGCTTCATCATTGCTGTCATTGCTGTGTTAACACTGATGGCTCTTCCTGAAACCGTAAAAACCGTGAAAATTACACCCTATTGTGCGGGCTGATACTGATACATAGTAATTTATTTTTTTATTTTTGGCATGGGACATTTTTAACAAATCTTGTGAAAAATAACCCATTTTTGAGAAAATAAGATAAGTTACACGTGGTATGTGTTAGTAGGTACTCACAGCTTTGTCGATAATTATGAATAGTTTGTAGATGAAATGTAAAACTGGCAACGGCAAAATTTCATATTGATCGGTTGAGTAGATACGGCGTAAAAACGTAACTAACAAATTCATCAAATTCATGGTATCATTAATAATATTACGATACGCGCCAAGAACGCATTATATTGAAAATTTAAATACTGTGATTTACAGTTCCATTTTACAGTATGTACGTATAGTTAATTGTTGACAAATTGAATTTCAAATTAGTACATGAATAAATTTAAAACTACTGTCGGAAAAATACCAGCGGAAGCTCATTATGAGCGGAAGCTCAATACGAAACATATTCAGGAAATGCGAATTCTTGGCACCGTAGGTCAGGATGCCTATACCGTCAGCAAACCGTCGTCGGACCGACTCCAAAATGCATAGTGAAAATAAACACCGATAGGAGTTTTCAGGTGAGCTTTGCTATATTAAACCTTCTCTTTCTTATTACGGTCCTATAAAGCTTTTCACACGACTACTCGTAAAAGTGTAGGTAATATTTTCCATATGAAACTCTTTATTTTAACAGAACTAGCACGGGCCAGTATAGCTGCGGTTAAGCGCTATTTACTTTATTTGAAAAAAAAAACAAGTAAATAGAGAATGTAATTTATCATATTCATAGGGCAAATTTGTGGTGAAAACAACGAGGATACTAAAGCCGACCGTGCACTTTACCGGTCTGAGTGCATCTTTCATTTCATAGAATGACAAACTGATGATGTACGAGTTAGCAGTATGTAATGTCTCCTCTAAAAACCCATCGACATCTAGCCTCAGGCGCTCAACTCTGGAAGGACCTAGACTATTTGATGTCAGGTCCTTCCCGGATCAACGCCGCACCTAATTAGGTCCTATCCCGGGAGGAGCCGTAGGTTTCGCCCGCCTTTTGGCGCAATCACTACCCATGTGTTGTGGCCCGACCATGTTTTGACACAATTGCTGGTGGGAACAAATCTCGTCCGATTCGATCTTGCAGGACCTCCCGTTTAAACACCCACGCAGGGCATTTTTCTTGCGCATGCCGGTCGGAGTCCCAGTGCTGGCATTGTTCCGTCTACTCACTTCCGATCGGGTTCAGATGGCAACCATGTCCGAGGAGTACGTGCGTGAATTAGTAGGCCCTAGCTGCCTCAGCCAGCATCGGAATCCTAGGCATTGATATATCGAGCGAAGTCCAGTTTCGGGGTCACTTAGAGGGTAAGGTCAAATGGGCCTCGAAGAAGCTCGGTGTCCTAAACAGATCGAGGCAGTATTTCACTCCGGCCCACCGCCTTCAGCTCTATAAGGCGCAAGTCCAACCGCATGTGGAATACTGATCTTATCTCTATGCAGGGGTAGGTACTGTACTGTACTGGGAGTGGATATTGACTTTTATTTATATTCACCCGTAAGTACACATACTGCTCCACGTTACTATAGTACCAGCTTCTCCCTCTGGACCGCATCCAACGAAGAGCGACTCGAATCGTCGATAGCCCAATCACCTCGACTCGATTCCTTGGCGTTACGTAGGATGTGACTTATTTTATTTATTTATTTACTTTGACTTCACTCTGCATTCTCTATCGCATATATCATGGAGAGTGCTCCGAAGAATTGTTCGGACTAATACCAGCCGCAAAATTTCCGCCATCGTTCCACAAAATTTTCATCCTCATTACCTGGATAGTTGGCGGTCCACTACTGTGCGCTTTTCGAGACACTTTTTGCCCCGCACAACCAATCTGTGAAACGGTTTATCGTCTGCGGTATTTCCGGACCGATACGACCGTCTAACCTTCAAGAAAAGAGCGTACTCCTGCCTAAAAGGCCGGCAACGCGTTTGTGACTTGCAGACGTTCATGGGCGGCGATAGTCACTTTCCATCAGGTGACCCGTCTGCTCGTCTGCCCCCTCTAACATAAAAGAAAAGTAGGTGACGAACCGAGGTTACGCAGTAACCTGAATTCGAGGTTACGCAGAACAGGACCAACAGCGGGTTGGCGCACATTCCTCTGCTGGTATAGCCGCGCGCCTTGCTGTGGGTAAATGCTGCCCCGCATTTCGAGCCCCTCCTGAACCTCTCCACTGCCACGCAGGCGTATCGCACGAGTCTGGTCATAGACGCTCGTGTCCGTATCCGCTAGGATATCCAAAGCTCTCAAACGTGCCAGGACTGTCACCGCCTCCGACGAGATGGTACGTTAACCTCGTAAGATCCGTAGTAATTTAGTAGTCGTTTAATATTTTATATTAGAAATAAAATAAAGTAATTAAAAGCCCATGTTTTTTTAACGCAGTCAAAGAAATATATTCCATACAAAAAAGAGAGTTATACAATTACATTTATAAATATATTTAGGGGCTATTTGTTCTTGGTAACTAACTTGATAACTTCCCCCACTACGTCTCCCAATGTTCAAGTTTTTTGCCGACAATTATACCTTTTTCTTCAATTTATGACGTGCAATTCTTCTGCCATTCTACTTTTTCTTTGTCGTATTCTACTCTCTTATCCGTCAATACATTCATTAAAAGGTTTTTACTACATTTTGATATCACATCATCATCACATGTCCATACCACAACAACATATTGCTCCTCAACTTTTCCTTCAAACTCTTAAGCTCGTCTCGGACTTCCTAAGAGTTTTTCAGTACCTTTATATAACCTTATGACGAATATGCGGCACGGTATTTCAACTGCAACGTGCCGTATCAAGTCGTGGCGTGACGTTGATAATTGTAATAGCGCAATTTATATTCATATTGAACTGTCTTATTCTTTTGGAAACAATATAAAATAATTAACAGTGACATGCTTACTCGGTGTCACGTATTGTCAATATTTAACTTGAATTATATCCTAACTACCCATTGATTAATTATTTATTGTATCAATTATTCAGTGTTTGTTTGACGAATATAAAAACATTGTTAGTAGTGACGGCATTACGGCTGAGTATACAGAACATTCATGTTATAATTATATCCTAGACACGCTATTATCGTCGTTACGTACGACGGTAATATTATCATGTTGTTTGAAAATAAATATCATCATCATCATCATCATCATCAACCTTTAATATTCCACTGCTGGACATAAGCCTCTCCTTAGAAAGGAGGTTTTGGCCAACTATATCACGCTGGTCAGACGGGTTGGTATAGGGTTTGTATCAAGTTTTCCTTCTCTCTGCATTCCTGCGTAGTTTGCTCCCTTAGCCGGCTCTTACAACACCCACGCGATGAACAGGGGTAGTGATACTTCGTATTTTTAATCCGTCACCACACGAAAATTAAAGATATATAACTATCAATATTACATTTACTGTCAACGTTGATAGAAAGATATGACATTAGTGGGTGGACAGAGGTGTACCTAAATTAAAATTTTAATATCTAAAAACACTATTAATACAAAATAAGTTACATAACACACCTAAATCTTGAATTCGTAAACAGTGTGGACCGCTATGGGAAATAGATAGGGGTTATTACTCTGAGCGTTTCTGACCCGGACGGTCGACAACCTCTCTAAACAGGTCAGCTGAGGGTAGCCATCCTTATTAAATATTCAGACTATTACGTGTCTGATGTAAGCAGTTCCAGAGTAGATATTGAGCATTTCAAATAATAATAGGCATACATTTTAACAAATTAAACAATAGGTATTATATTAATTTATTACTCATAACTATGTCCCACGGCCTAGTTCTTTTATACTCATGGCGCTAATTTGATTTTGAATATGGAATGAATTGTTTTTGAATTTTAATTGAATGTGCAGGCAGAGTCGTATCTATTTGTTTTCATTTTGCGAACCGTAAGTTTGGTCCCATTTATGTCATAGGTGGCAAGCCTATTGCTGTAAACCGGGCTTTGTGGCAGTTAGGTTAGGTTAGGTAAGGAAAAGCAGTTTCGACGGAGGTGGCCGTTTCGACGGAGGTGGCATGCGCGTTGGCCGGAACTCCCCCGTGGGATTTGGAGGCGGAAGTGCTCGCCGAAGTTTATCGGCGAGTGGCTGACTCCCGGGCGGAGAGCGGATTTCGCCCTCCGCCCGAGGATGTGCGCGAGTGGCGCGAAGCCGCTCGCCGAGCCACGACGGCTCGTTGGTCGTTCCGGCTGGAGACTCCACGCGCTGGCTTCGCCGCGGTGGAGGCTCTCCAGCCGGTCATCGCCGAGTGGGCAGGGCGGCAGCACGGGACCCTTTCCTTCTGGCTGACGCAGGTGCTTTCCGGGCACGGTTGCTTCGGAAAGTACCTGCACTCGGTCGCTAGGAGGGAACTGAGTCCCGCCTGCCATCACTGCGACTGCAGTGAGGACTCGGCCCAGCACACGCTGGCGGTCTGCCCCGCATGGGCGGCGCAGCGCCGGGCCCTCACTGCAGTCATCGGAGTGGATCTCTCGCTACCGGCCGTAGTACGCTCCATGGCCGGTAGCGACAGTTGTTTTACCGCGGTCGCAACCTTCTGCGAGGTAGTAATCTCGCGGAAGGAGGCGGCGGAGAGGGCCCGGGAGGACGACCTCCACTCGGACCCGATCCGCCGCCGGCGAACCGGGCGGCGGAGGCCCGCTTATCACAGCTTCATGCCGCCCTGAGTGTGGCCGCGGGTGGACGGGGTGGGTTTCCCCTCCACCCGCATTAGTTTGGCCAGCCGCGAGGGGGCGGCGTCCGCGTGTGCCGGACGTCGCCTAAAGAGAGGAAAATATATTGAGACGGAGCCCGCACCAGGAGCGGGCTGGCGCTGGGAGGGGTCCGGATGTCTTAACAATAGCTGTTCCCGGATCCCTCCTGTTACAGGCGCAGAGTGGCACACCGTGTGGTTTTAGTCGGTCCGAGTCCGACACACCACCCCGCCGCAAACCCCGGAGGGGTGACGGTCCGAGGGGATTTCCACACGTTAAAAAAAAAAAAAAAGGTAAGGAAAAGCA